GGGGGGGGGCACTTAAAAGCATTTGCCGGAGTTTGGGTTTCATTTACTGTGACATCAAGTTAAGTCAAGTGGGGGAAGTCGTTCTTCAGAGAAACCCCCCCATAAAATGAAGAAGCCAACAGTAGAGCTGCGGTGTTGTCGGACGCACAGTTTAATGACTCGGCCCCTGATTGAAGCGCCACCATTTTCTTTTACATGCCAACGATGGTCAGACGACACAAAAACCGCAACCACCAGTTCTCGTACTGTAATGCCCTTGCATCTGGGCAAGGAGAGCCGTCTTCTTTTTCATGGCCCACAAATCCCATTGATAGTTTCAAATTTGGAACGTTCCCATCATCTCACCCAGTCCCGAAAACCTTTTGGAAACTTTGCACCCTCTTTGTCATCCTCGTACCGACTTGGCAGCTAGCTAAACCGGGCTGCCGTGTTGCGCTAATCGTCATCTGTATTTTGACCAAAGCGTGTGGCACATTTTTTATTGGGACACCTTGAAAATGACAAAACCAAAAATTCTCCTCAGACCCACAGTCACCATGACAACCGAGGCCTAAGCTCCCCTGTTGTTTGTCATTCAGCCACATTCAGCGACAAACAAGTGACCGTGTAAGTCAATTAGCTTGTTTTGGAAATATCTGGCGCGCCACCGCCAGTCACGTCGCGTCAACTCCTTTCCGCCTGCCTGCTGTTATTTCTTCGCCGGCAGTCTTAATCACCAGACCTTTTTTTTTTTTTCCTCCCCCTCTATCTCCCGACGCTCTCCTTTTTTCCTCGTCTGGCTTCAGTGGCCCTAATGTGGCGAGCGAACGTGGCTAATGTGGATTAGCTATGCGCGCCGGCGCGGGCCAGGAATCCCTTTCGGCTTAACGGGGCGATTAAAACCGCCGCCACGAATCGCGCGTGTGAGCCCGCATGCGAACGACACCAAAAAGCCAGAGCTTTTCTATTTACACATCCGCACCTTTGAGGGGATCAGAGAAGAGATATTTAATCTGACCTGGAAAAGGAGATTTCCAGCCACGCCGCTAACAGATGTTAGACAAGGACGGGAATATCTGGGAGCGGCGTAACCTCGAGTCGGGATGAAGTGGACTTTGAAGTGGTGTACTTGTGTTGCTGTCAAACGAAATCAGAGGAATGGCGTTGATTTCGTAACGTGTACGATGTTTGGCTTGGAAACGGGGTGCAGCTCAGCCTCTGGCGAGTGAGAGGCTGTTGGCGCCGTGTCAAACGTGCGGACGTCTGTGATCCATGAAGTATTCTTCTTGCATGGGATTTTAGTTCAACAAATTTGCCCCTTGAATCTTTTCTTTTTCGGAAAGTGCAGCATCGAGTGTTTGTCGTCTTTTTCGGAAAGAGAAGATGCAGTGCAACGGGATGTGTTGCTATGGAAACACGTTGACCCTTTTCTGTTTAAGACAGTGCGATGTCAATAGTTTGTTTTCTTTTGAGGAAACAGAGGAGACCGACCAGGACCAGTTTGAGGAGTCCAAATTATGATGCGATGAAATGGCCCATGGCTTTAATAATAAGATATGTAGCATCTTAAATCTTTTCGATTTTTCAAAAGATGTCAACAACAATTGTTTTTACAAAAGAAAGGTGGCGTCAAAACAGTCTGACTTCTGATAACTAGAATAAACACCGGCGGCAAATTCTCTTGCCCTTTACAAGGACGCGGCGCCGTTTCAAAAGGGTTCACCGGACTGCCGTACCGCCAAAAGAATATCGCCAAACACGACGCGCGCTACCCGCACACTGAGCTTCTCTGTTTTTGTTGACGAAAGACCTCTGTGCAGCGCTGAAAAAAAAAATGGCAATCTTCCATCATGTGTGGTTTGTGAGAACAAAAAAGTCTTGTATACGCAATGTAGCCTTCAATTGCCGCCGTGGCATGAATGGCGTCGCATTTAAGTGCCGTTGTCAGTACTTGTCAGGCTATCGTTTCCCAGACGACAAACTCAACCCTGAGCGCCGGCATGGAGCTCCTGACTGCAAGAAACAATTTGATTCTTTCATCTCCATTAAATGAGTATCCACTACAGACGGCCCCGGTTGCCACGGTGATCGCGGCGGCAGGCGGCGCGCCCGACAAGTGCCTCAAAGAAACAATTGTTTTGTTCCCGCGGAAATGTTTCTGTATTAAATTGAAGTCAAAAAGCGTTCAAGTAGGCAGACTTCATTTTGGCTCCGTCCTCCTCGAGGGAGCTCTTGAGGTGCCTGCATCAAAACAAGCTTTAATAACGCGAAACAATTTCTTTTAATTAAAAAAAAAAAAAAAAAAAAAAAAAAACATTACAGTTGGTGACGCAGCCCGCACTATTTATTTATTTATTTTTTTTACTACACCTGTAATTAAAAACGACTCGACAGACAGTCAACGAGTTGAGAAAACGCCTCTGGATAAAAAAATCGAACCAGACTGCTCTACGTTAACGAGAATATCTTCCGGGCGACTGCACGTCAACTATAATCGAATTGAAGAGCAATCATTTGCTTCCATCTTGATATCGTGAAACGATTTTCTTTCGTGTGTGTGTATATTGTTGGAGTCCGTCGCATCTTAATTGGAGTGAATCAAATCAAATTGAAGTTGGTTGCACCGCATCATCATCGGAGGCAATTGCACTTTAATTGAACCGGATCGTATTCATCGTAATCAGAGTCGATCTGACGGCATCGTGAACTCATAACTGGACATGACATTGATTCGCCACTGAATTTGACGGAACCTTCTCACACCATAATTCGTCAATCATATGGTATCCCATCGTAATTTGAGTCAATTTCATTTGAGCGAACCACGTTGCGTCGTGATTGAACCGAATCACAATCGTATCCCAAGAGTCATCTGGATCGCCACTTAATTTGACTTAATTGTATCGTAATCGGACTGAATCACGTCGTTAATTGAGTCTCTAATCGTATCGCAATTCCACTTCACCAAATCGTTGCATCATCATGATGGTCGTATGTAAACTTTGACTGAAGGGTGCCGCTTCGTATTTCATTGGACTGAACGGCATCGCGTCACATCGTTCATCGTATTCATTTGACTGCATCGTACCAAATCTTAATCCAACGGAATCCAATCCTGATTAGCTTCAATCATTTCAGATCGCAACTTCCTTTGACTGAATCGTACGGCATTTTGTTTGAACGTTTCATTGCGCAATTTAATCTGACATGAAGGCGTCAATCATACTCGTAGCTGAGAAAAAAAAAAAACATCCTCGGCGATCTCGATGCTAGCACTAATCATGGCGTCGCGGGTACGACGTTTACCTTTGAAGAAGCAGTCCTTGCTGTGCACCACGTAGATGCGCCTCCTCTCCGCGCAGGCAGTTCGGTAAACCTCGCAGTGGTTCTCGTAGAAGCGTCCGTCCGAGCCGCACACCGGCACGAAGGACGCGCGGCACTTCTCCTGACACACGCACTCTGCGCGGCCGGTCGTCGCCATCAGCACGCACTGGCGGCCGCGACCGCAGTAAGTCCTCCGGCACGGACTGCTGTCCTGGTCGGCGACGGCTGGAACGGAAAGGAACAACGGACGCTTCATGAACCCAGGTCGATGGGGAAAACAGAGCACCCCCAAGAGTTGATGCACGGTGTTGCTCGAAAACCTCATTTTTAAAACTCGAACCCCTGCCTTGGAAGATGACTTTGAAACCCAAACCTGACATGGAAAGCAATCATAAACGTGAGCCTCAACCTTGTTTTGAATTTGAAATTCTAACTGGAAGCATTCATTTGAACTCACAATAGTTTCATCAAAACCTGAATCCTGTCTTGAATTCTGAGCCCCAAACCTGGTCTGAAACACTCGTTTGAAACTCTAACCTTGTATTGAAGCTCTACTTGAAAACCGCTGCGCCGGACTTCAAATTCTACTTTGAAACCTTAACCCTGACTCGGACCGTGAAAGCTTAATCCTGTTTTTAAATCCTAATTTGAAACCCTACCCCTGACTTGAAGCCCCACCTCCAAGCCCCAAGCGCACCTGCACATTGAATAAATTGAACAGCTGAAATTTATTTCCATTGGTTCCTATGGGAAACAAGTCAAATAATAAAGCAGCCGCAGTCTGCGGGCGGTTGCGCTTTTTAAAAAAAAAAAAAAAATCAAAATCAAGTCTTTATTATTGCACATCGTATCCGCCCGCGAGAGGCGATCACTTGCCGACTTATCCCGTCGTACTAATTGCCCGTCGTGTCCCGCTCTCTGAAGCATCTGTGGGAAATGCAAACTAGCCCCCGCCACGCCCCTAACCTACGCCTGGGCGACCTATGTGCTCACGCCAAGGTCGATGACGAGACGGTTCGAGGTCTCGGGGGCGTGAGAGATTAAAAACGCTTAGTGGCCCACCGCCGACTCGACTTAGAAGCACGCAGCACGCAAGTTGCTAACAATACACAACATGTTTGACATTTGCGCTCTCTCGGCAGGCTAAAATGCTAAATCCTACTCGTCTAAGCGGGTTCGAGTGGGGACTGCAGTGTTGTTGTTCTTTATTTGCCATGTAAGACATGTCCCCGCGGGTGGTTGGGGAGGGGGGGGGCATTCGGTCAGAGGGCTGTAATGATCCATTTGTGGCACAATGGAGGCGTGTTTGTTCGCCCTTCTTATCTGTCTGACATTTTGACAAGCCAACATGTTTATTAGCTTTTAAGAGGATGACGGCGTGATGACCGACGAGCGCCGCCGGTTTCCACTTTTGCTGGAGAGACGAGCGCAAAAGGCGGTGGAAATCTCTTTTGATACTTTTGGACTCGTATGGGAAAACGCAAGACAATTGGCGCCCAGAAAAGGGACATGGAAACGAAACCGGTGTCACGTTTGACACACCCACCACTAACCTTGGTTTGAAACTCGAATTGGAAAGACTCATACTGGCTTGAAACGCAAACCTTAACTTGAACCTAAACGTGGCTTTAAAACATACCTTGAAACTGAAACCCTGACTAAAAGCGCTACTTTGAAACATGTCCTGGCTAAACCCAAACTTGAACTGAAACTGTCACCCTGCCTTGAATGCACCCGCCACTTGACTCGACGCGGCGAAACCCTCAAAGCTTCGCCGCGTCGTGCCACTCAAAGGCCTGGATTGACTTGAACCCGGGCGAGAGGAATCTCTTTAAATCCTTTTAGTGGCGTCCCGCGGCATTTTTGGATTGAATCGGTGGCACTATTTGTTGGGGTTTTTTTTCGTATGTTTGCCCGCCGCCTCGGGCGCCAAAGGACACTTGCGAGCTTCCTAAAACCTGGCGCTCATCCCGCGAAGCCTCCGGGGGTGCCCGCGTGACATTTTGACTCCATTTTTGTCGTTGAATCAAAATGTGCTGACGCGGCGCGTTATTCGATTAGCGGGGTGAAGCGGCCCGCCGATAATTGAATTCACAGAGGACAAGCCGTCAATGGGCGTCTCGTACGCGACAAAGCGCTCGCTGGGATGGAATATCAATGCAACACAACAACAAAAACTTGCAGGGCAAAACGGATAAGAATGTGAAATGATATCTAAAAAGCAGAATTGTGGACGATATTATGACTGCGATCATATGATGCAGGAGAAAAACGTACACGCACAGACAAAAGTGTATTCACGTATTTCTATGTATCCCAAAACAAACCGTGTTGGTTGTTATTAATTGCTAGATGTTAGCATAGTGGCTCTTAGCATGCTAGCATTTGACCAATTCTCATTTCATATCGTACCGAACTACATCCTTAACAACCTGCCTTAGCGCTTTCTCTGCCCAGGTTGGTCCTTTGCGACCTGTTAGCATAGCAGCCGCTAACATGTTAGCATTTCATCACTTCTCTCAAATGCAGGACATGATTTAAAATCCTGCCTTTCTCTGGTTCCTAAGTTGCTCTCTTGCCTGATATTAGCAGAGCACCTTTTTTGCATTTTAGTATTTGATCAATTCTCCGATTCACCTCCTACATACTTTGCCGCCGTCTGCCTCCTTGGTAATTTGCGACGTAAATTGCCACAGTTTGTCGGGCGATAGCGAGTACGGCTGGTCCGGCTCTTCTGCTAGAGAATCGCTCATGGCCCCAGCGAAGATACGGCGGCGGGGTGGGGGGGGATAAATATCACCCTTGAAGATGCAGCAGATGGCGTGCAGCTGTTTGCAGCAACAAAAACAGAACAATTTGTATTCAGCATGGATTACCGGCCATATGAGTGTTGTTTTCAACGCATGGAAATGAAAGCAGAAAGCGGTTGCACAAAGTACTCGACGCCGCAGCCTTAATATGCTTCGCCGCATGTTTTACCTTCTCATTAAATCGGGAAAAGTCTTATCGTTGCCTCGTGACGCAGGTGAAATCAGCTCATTTGCCTCTCGTCTGTTTTCAAGCACACTTTGCCTGCACTCACTCACATTTCTCACGCAAATTATTAATGGTGGACTGATACGTTTCTTTGGTACCGATCATCACCAAGCCGACGCAAAGACCTGGACAGAACCAAGCCGAAAACCAAGTCACAGACAAGTAAAAGTCTCAGAGAATCGAGAACCAAGTCCCAAAATGACAAAAATCAAGTCGGGAATCAGTCATAAGTGATCAGTTGCTATGCTAACGCCCAGTAACCCGAGGCTAGCTGATGTGTCGTCGGTAAACCACAAGGGCCCATTTAGTTTTCTCCTCGTTCAAAATAGATTGAGTCCGCGTGGCGTTGTTGAATACGCACGCGCTAATCCTTCCCGGTGCGCTTGTCTATTGATCGCTGCCAAGGAGACTGCAATCTGCTACTCACCGGAATGACTTATAAGGTTGGCGAAAGCCTCCTCACACAGGCGGGATTTAGCGGCATCTGAACCCCGACAACCGCAACGGTCCGCTTGAGACCTCGACATGGGGGCATTCTTCATTCGGTACAACAGCCATTATTTAAAACCCCAATTTGAAACCAGGTCTGTGCCTTGAAATACGAAGAAGAAAATACTAACCCTTGTTGAAAACAGTAACCAAGTCTTCAAAACCTAATTTAAAACCCTGTCTGGAAAACATAACACTGCTTAGAACAAACACCCTGGCCTGATATCCTCATTTGAAAGCCAAATCGACAAAACGCTAATCCATTTTAAATCTGCCTTGACATCATAATTAAAAACCCTAACAGTTGAAACCCTACTTTGAAACACAAACCTCATAATCGATGCTACTTTTGCTAGCTTATCTGTAGCATTATTGCACCGGGTGTTCCCATGAAGCTAGCAGAAGGTAAAAAGTTGCGTGGGTGTTTTAAATACACTGCGTGTCATTCTCTTTGTTTTAGGTTTAGTTTGACAGCGCAGAACAACTTGAAGCCTCTTTGACAAAACTTTCACTATTTGCCAAACTGCTACGTTATCATAAATTCACTTTACCGGCACACACAAATACCGGGTTGTTTTCCAAAACACACTCACTGGTTCGCTGTGGAATTTGAGCAGATTGGGTTACTGAAAACCGCAATCGCGTGCCGATGTTTTGAGTAGTTATGTTAATCCGATTACCCCTTGGATGACTCAAATGAGTGAAAAAACACATCATGGTCTTCATTTACATCACACATGACAATGAAGACCCCCCCCCGCCCCCCCCCCAAAAAAAAAAAATCCCTAACAAACGAGGCTATGATTACAAATCACAACACATCCCTGAGGCGATATTAGCGACCGCGCCGAGAGGCTTCGCTCCGCTCCGTCTAAATGCGGGCTTGACGACCAGGCAACTTTTCATGCCGGATTGTGGCCCGTGAAGTGCGCCCGTACTGATGAAATATTACAATCGCTACTAAAGTGTCTGTGGGGTCCTCTTTGGCTTGACATTATGGAGACAAAAGCACTTTCATATGCGATTAGCGAGGCAGCATTAGCCGGATGTCAGTGCCGTTAGAAAGGGCAGCAGATAAACAAGTGACTTATGAGCTTGTTTGGGGAGTCTCACACAAACACGCCCTCGTACATATTTATGTCATTTCGGCGCCTCCCGAAAAGGAATGGCAAGCTCCTGACATAAAACGGTAACGATTTTTCCAATAATGTGATGAGGACTTGACACGTTCTTAGAGCGTGGGAAGATTGCACAAACGTACGGGAGACCTTCCGCATGCATTTCAATTTTCTTAGAGAAAATATCTTCGGATAGAAGAGCAAAAAAAAAAAAAATGGCAGCCTTGCACCATGTTTTGTAGCATTTTGCATAAAGCGTTTTCATCCGGACCGGAGTCTAATCAGGCTCTCGTTGAGGGACATTAGCGTAGCTAACACACACAAACTGTCCTATTATTGACTCAACGACTCCATTTTGAGTGCAAATAAAGCTTCCATTCCCACCAAACTGCACTTGTGACTCATGCGGGAGACATTTGTCTCCCCGCAATTGATGCAAAGCAACACATTAATGTTTGTTTGGAAAATCTGCATGCCTTCTTTAAGGCCTTGCAATTCCACCAGGAAGGCTTGCCAAGTTCAGTGAGGAGCTTGCGTCGGATCACGGGAGAGGAAGTTCAGGCAAAGTGCACTCAGCATTTG